CTCATGTCCATTCCATATTAGCTGTGTGTGCTCGCCACATGCACCGGTGCCGGAAGTTTTTACCTCAGCAGTATCTGTAGGGGAACGGCTCTGGGTGCCCTCTGGAGTGGCACTTGCATGGCACAGTATAAGGGGCACCGCCAGCTCCCCCCACCCTCAGTTCCTTCTTGCCGCCAGTGATGGTGCTGGAATGTCTGCTGCTTCGGCTTGTGTTGTTTTGTTCTCTGTTCTTGTGAACTTTGAAATCCTGTAAAATAGTTATACATAGTTAGTAGTTTCTTAGATGCCCTTAGTAGTAGTTCTAAAACTCTTTGTTAGTCCCGAACGGGACTCAGCCGGGGGACGGGGCATGCCCAGGTCCCCAGGCTTTAAACCCTGCGATCCACATACCAGCTGCCTAAGGTGCTTAGGCACAGGGCACATAAGTGACAAGTGCCGTATCTGCAAGTCCTTCAAACCTAGGATGAAGAAGGAGCACGATATCCGTCTAAGAGCGCTCCTAATGGAGTCGGCACTCACTCCGGCCCTGGACAAGCACAGTGTGCAGTGCTCCCCTGGCGCCATCCATGGGCTAGCACCGGTCTCCCTCCCTAGCACCGGGGTCACTGATCGATGGACTCGAGGTGTACTTCGCCAGTAGATTGGCACAGATCCTGATGGACATGCCACCCTGCAAGAACTCCGGAGAGAACTGTGGAGCAAACAGACAGCAAATTGCATGGCCTCAAGGACTCTCGCACGACCCTGAAGACCCTGGGTCTCTTCATCCCAGCCCCGGCGCGTAAGCGGTTCAAACCACAGCAGCTGCCAGGCCAGCGGAGCCAGCCTCTTAAATAATCCAAGAGCTACAAGCGCCGCCCAAGCCACCCGCCTCCACCCTCTGCCCAATTGGGCTTGACCTAGAATAAGTAGGGGGCCAAATGGTCGTTTTGAGTGTGTGCCCGAGGGGGACCTACCAGACCATTCCCTGGATCCATCTTTCCCAGTGTTCTCCAACCGCCTTTCCCTCTTCCTCCCTGCCTAGTTGGCTATAACCTTGGACCGATGGGTCCTCAGCACAGTGGAACAGGGTTTATACCCTCCAGTTCCTTTCTACCCCCCCTTCCCACCCGCCTTCTCCATCCCTCTTCAGGGACCCCCTCACGAGAGTCTCCTCGCGCAGAGGTAAAGGGGTTGCTACATCTGGGTGCAGTCGAAGAAATTCCTCTTGAGTATAGGAACAAGGGGTTCTATTCCCGGTACTTTTTAATCCCAAAGGCCAAGGACAGTCTATGGCCCATCCTGAATCTGCAAGACTTCAACAAGGACCTAAAGAAGCTAAAGTTCCTCATGGTTTCCCTGGCTTCTATTCTCCCCTCCCTGGATCGGGGAGACTGGTATGCCGCCCTTGACTTGAAGGACACATACTTCCACATAGCGATCTTTCAAGGACACAGACACTTCCTCCGATTTACGGTGGGGCCCCAACACTACCAGGTTTCAGTCCTCCCATTCGGCCTGGTGACAGCACTGAGAGTGTTTACCAAGTGCATGCCGGTGGTATTGGCTTACCTCAGGCGTCAGAGTATCCAAATCTACCCATACCTCAACGACTGGCTCGTCAAGGGCAGCTCCAGGTCTCAAGTCCAAAGGGATGTCACGGTGCTTCAAGCTACATGCCACGCTCGGGACCTGCTGGTAAATGACAAAAAGTTGACGTTAGTGCCAGTGCAGAGGATAGAGTTCATCGGAGAGGTCCTCAACTCGACCTGCGCCAAGGCGTTCCTGCTGCTGGAAAGGTTCCACACATTGATGAATCTCATCGCGTAAGTCTCCGCATTCCCTCTGACTACAGCCAGGGTCTGTCTGCGCTTCCTGGGTCACATGGCAGCGTTCACTTACGTGGTCCACCATGCCAGACTCCGGATGCAGCCCCTGCAACAATAGTCTATTCCCAGTCCCGTGACACCCTGGAAAAGATTGTTACCATTCCCCAGGCGATACTTACCTCGCTGCAGTGGTGGACTGACTGCAGGACGGTCCTGGAAGGGGTTCCCTTCGACAACCCTCCCCACTCCATTGAGTTGGTGTCGGACACCTCGGCTGAGGGGCGCTTATCGGCATCGTCCAGACTCAGGGGACGTGGTCCCTGGACGAAGCGCGGTTGCACATAAGCATCAAAGAATTCCGAGCAGTCCGGCTGGTGTGCGGAGTCTTCTTGCCCCACCTGTCGGGCAAGCTGGTACAAGTCCTGCCGGACAACACAGCCTCGATGTTCTACATCAACGGGCAAGGCAGAGCGTGCTCATCAGCTCTCTGTCAGGAGGTGCTCCGCCTATGGGACTTCTGCATCAGCCACAAGATCCACCTGGAAGCTTGTCACCTTCCTGGCATCAGGAATACACTGGCGGACCAGCTCAGCAGGGACTTCTCCTCTCACCACGAGTGATCGCTCCATCCAGAGGTAGCCTGCATGATCTTCCAAAGGTGGGGAACTCCCCAAGTGGACCTGTTCACTACCAGACAGAACAGGAAATGCCACCAGTTTTGTTTTCGGCAAGGTCTAAGCAAAGGCTCCTTCTCCAATGCCTTCCTCCTGTTGTGCTCAGGGAGCCTGATGTACGCATTCCTTCTGATTCCGCTCATCAGCAGGGCCCTAGCAAAGATCAAGAGGCACAAGGCGCAGGTCATCATGATCGCCCCGACATGGCCTCGCCGACACTGGTTCAGCACGCTCATGAGCCTATCAGCAGCCCCTCCTGGGCCCCTGCCCAACCGACCAGACTTGCTGTCACAGGACCACAGTCGACTCCTACACCCCAACCTCAGGTCCCTCCACCTCTCAGCGTGGATGCTGCATGGCTGAACCCAGAGGAGTGGACCTGTTCGGAAGGAGTCCAACAGGTCCTCCTGGAAGGTAGGAAACCCTCAACTAGACTGACTTACCTGGCCAAGTGGACGTGGTTTTCCCGCTGGGCATCCGAACAGGGTATCTCTCCCTCGCATTCCTCCATACAGGCTGTCCTGGACTACCTGCTCCATTTGAGGAACCAGGGCCTGACGCACTCTTCCATTAGAGTACGTCTCGTGGCCATCTCCTCTTTTCACCCACCGATCCAAGGACAGACGGTGTTTTCCCATGACATGATGGTCAGATTCGTGAGAGGGCTCGAGAGACTCTTCCTGCAGGTACAGTCTCCTGTCCCACAGTGGGATCTTAACTCTCTAGGCTCACTGGCCCGCCCTTTGAGCCGCTGGGTTCCTGCTCCTTTTCCCACCTATTGTGGAAGGTCGCATTCCTGGTGGCGGTGACATCGGCGAGACGGGTCTCTGAAATTAAAGCCTTGACCTCAGAACCTCCGTACAAAGATAAGGTTCAGTTGCGGCCTCACCCGGTCTTCTTGCCAAAGATGGTCTCCACCTTCCATATGAACCAGGACATCTTCCTCCTGGTGTTCTGTCCCAAACCGCACAAGACCAGTGAAGAGAGGCGTCTTCACTTCACGCCCTGGACATCCAGAGGGCCTTGGCTTTCTACTTAGAACGTATCAAGCCTTTCCATAAATCAACTCAACTCTTCATTGCTACAGCGGATAAGATGAAGGGTCACCCACTGTCCTCGCAGATGATTTCCAATTGGATTACTTCGTGCATAAGGACCTGTTACGACCTGGCGGGGGTTCTGCTGTCACCAATTGTCAGAGCCCACTCGACGAGAGCGCAGGTGTCTTTATCGGCCTTCCTGGTGCACATTCCTATCCAGGACATCTGTAGAGCCACAACGTGGTCCTCAGTCCACACGTTCATGTCTCATTATGCCATCACTCAGCAGGTCAGGAACGATGCTGGGTTCGGCAGAGCTGTGCTGCAATCTACATGTCCGTGAACTCCTACCCACCTCCAGGGGTACTACTTGGGAGTCACCTAATATGGAATGGGCATGAGCAAGCACTCGAAGAAGAAAAGACAGTTACCTTTTCCGTAACTGGTGTTCTTCGAGATGTGTTGCTCATGTCCATTCCACAACCCGCCCTCTTTCCCCACTGTTGGAGTTTTCTGGCAAGAAGGAACTGAGGGTAGGGGGAGCCAGCGGTGCTCCTTATACTGCACCATGCAGGCACCATTCCAGAGGGTGCCAGAGTCGGTCCCCTACGGATACTGCTGAGGGAAAAACTTCCGGCACTGGTGGATATGGCGAGCACACACACCTCATATGTAATGGACATGAGCAACACATCTTGAAGAACACCAGTTACAGAAATGATAACTGTCTTTTTTTCAGATTAAAATCTAATAATTTTAATTTACTAGGGTTAATGTTCCCTTGTATTGGGGTACATCTGTAATAATGCTTCAGTATATTGACTAGTACTGTTTCATATTAAGACACTAGATTTTTGTGTATTACGTTGTAGAGGCAAAAAAGCAGTATGCATTTCATAGTGAGATTTGTTACTCGCTCATTATTCTACTGTTGTTTTTAGGAGAAATACCCATTTTCTCAAACCAGTTTTCTTCCCTCTTTATATTTATAGCAAAATATACCAGCTTTCAAAACACAGTCTTACTATATGCAAATTGCACACATCAGTCTGACATTTTAGCCCAGCTCAGTTTTTACATATTTAAAATGTTTGCATGTGAGGCATTCAGAGAGTATTTGCAGACGTGCATTTGTTTTGCATGCTTTTAAAATGTACTGTATTTTTCAAATATGATGCAAAGTTATCCTATGTCTTGAGCAAGGGATTGGTAGTCAGGATTCCTAGGTTCTTCTGCTTGCTCTCCCAGTGATTTGTGTGACACCTAGGGCAAGCCACTTAATCCTTCTGTACTTCACTTTTGCCGCCTGTACAATATATACTCTAACACCTAGGTCACAAGGACGTTGTGAGGCTTAGTTAATGTAATGCTGGTAAGGCACTTTGAATCATTATATAAAAGTGCTACATGAGTGCGAAGTATTTTTATTATCCAGTATTTTATTTGAGCAATTATTTTTCTCATTTATTTCGTTACAGCTGGTCCAAAAAACCAAAAGAATGGAAGTTTCAAAAGACCAGGCAGACTTGGCTTCTTTTGCACATGTATGAGAAAGAGAAGGTTTGTATTAACATCACTTTTTATTTAGCAAAATAATATCTTAAAGCAAGTAGTTATAAATTAATTACGCCTATTTTTTGTTAACCAAATGTTACTATGGTATCCCAACATGTTTGTAATTTTTGATTTAATCTGGACAAGGAGTCAATGTATACATTTGATTCTAAAATCAGCAGTGTTTAGAAATCATTTGTTACTGTAGCCTTTCAGAACAACTGGCAAGACATGTTTGCCAATCTCTGCTTTAAATCGTTTGTAGTTAATGCAGCAAGACTTAGAAGAAAGGTCATAATAAACCAGAGATGGTTTGGAATGACCTTTCTCCTGTGTATACTAGATTGTTATAATTAATGTACAAAAAGTATTATTGCATTTTGAATTCAAATGAATGATAAATTTAGACCATATTTCAGCTGTACTGGTTAATCTGAACTTCTGAATGTGGAACCCAGTACTAAAATCATAGATACTCACATTTTAGGCAGCTGAAACTGTTGCAGATCCTTTCAGGCTCTGACTCAGATGTGAAACCATGCTAGCGGGCTGCTAATATGGTTTCTCACTCACTACAATGTACATGGGACCTTAGACTGATTATAAAAGGCTTGGCAGTGCATCTATGTTAAAAATCAAAGGCTAGGCTTGCACCAGTGGTAGAATCCAGCAATTTAATAACTTTTGAAAACAAGAGATTTAATTTCCAGTTAGCCGCTGGTTATGGTGGCATTGAGGGAATGTTTCAGATCATTCCACTTTGTTGCATAATAGAGCAAACCACCTTGCCAATCCATAGTGGGTTGTTCATTTGTTCTTTTCGTTGTCTGGATGTGTCCATACAGTTAAAGATTTTTTGATAAGTTTACTTTATACATAACACAATTAAAATAGTTGTTGGCCTATTTGATGCAGATTTCAAGCCAGCTACCAACTTAAAGTGTTACCTTGATGAGAAGAAAGATTAAAAAAAAATAGTAAAATCAGTGTTTTGTTTAGGCAAAAATGTTCACAAAGCATTAGTACAATTTTACTGGCATAGCTGTATTTAGGAAGTGACAAAATAAAAGTTTAATTTCAGATATGGGGAATAATTTGCTTAGTACTTTAGATTTGTTTCTCCTTTAAAATCGTCCTTAACATCCTACCAAACACAACATATGTCCTCTACAGCTGTCTAGGAGCTATTTCAGAGCCAAAATGATGTCCTTGCTTTTACACCTGTTCGTCTTTGGGTTTCTTTCTTTTCACATTGACATAAATTGGTTAATAGTGTCTTCAAATAGCATGTTTTCAATAGATTTGAGTATCAATACATAGCTTAATTCTGTATTTCTCAACACTGAAATAGAAATGTTTCCTATTTTGGTATCCTCTTTAATCCATTGAGATTATTATGAGTTATTTATACTAACATATTTTGAACTGTCTATTACTGGTGAGGTCAGATTGCAAATGGTCTTTAAATAGGCTGCTTCCACTGATTTCTATGAGTTTGAATGAGGAACTACTCAAGTACATAAAGTTAAGCACATACGTAAGTATTTCACTGCATCAGGCCCTTAGTGAGGGTGACCACTTTGGTGAATATATTTTTATGCCTAAATTCTGCTCCCTCTTCTTTAGCCAATACAGTCTACCGAGTTCCAGTCATTAATAAAATACAAAAGAAAGCACTTTTTCTGTTCCTTCCCAAGTTCCATCTTCAGCTTCTGGTGGTGCCCAGTTAATAACTGAAGGTCCTGCAATAGGACAAAGTGGGATTCAGAGAGGAAGGTGTACTTGCTTCTGTCTATAAAATCAGTTAGGACTGACTCTGTAAAATCCAGATGGTGGGTGACTGGTGTCATAGGTCTGGCCTCTTAGCAGCTCCCTGGACTCTTGTGAGGGGATCCAGCCTGCTGGATCCTGTGTAATTTAAGACTCTGGAGTCTCCACAGATACCAGGCGTAACCTCAGTCTTGGAGCTGCTGGGCACATTCTTGGAGTTCAGACCCTCTGTCCAGCACTCCAGCTTGAGAGCTCAGATCTCTCCAGTCAAATTGCCTCTCCCCTGTTACCAGTTCTGACTCCTCATGTAGTTTAAACTTGGTCTTTTCCAGAACTCCACTCAAAGGTGTGAGCCTTCTGGTTTACATCTTTGCGGGGGCCCATGGCATGTGTAAGTGCTAAACACCTTCACAGTTATATAGTACTGTTGAACACTCAAGAGTTGATAATATTTGGTTCACTTCTAGATAGATATTTCCATTTAATATGTTTGGCTCCTACATACCTACATTGCACTGTTGGACTGTACATGTTCAACTGATTTATTTCCAGTGGCATCAACAGCCCGCTGGAATATTGCCTCAGGCCTAATTCAGATTACATCAGGGAGATCGTCATTAAAAGAAATGCTTCTGCAAAAATTATTCTCACTTATTAATAGTGATTATTTGAAATTGTATACAACAAACTCCCTGTCCTTTGGAGCCATGGCATCATTTTGTTGAAGAAAAATAATTTTTCAACAAGACGTTCTTAAATATTGTTTTGGTGACAATCTAAACTCAGAGGAAGTTGTGATATTTGCCTTATTTATTTATTTATTTATTTATTTATTTATTTTTCCTGCCAAGCCCAGTTGGCGTGCTTATGCAGCCCTCTGGAACTAACTGTAGACAAAGCAAGTCTACAAGCAGCAACCGTTCTCCAGATAAGGCTAGAGGCAAGGAAACGGTTTGGAAGAGAGGAAATGAAACAAAAGCCAAGATAAATGGCAGTGGAAATGATAGACAAAACCATAAACCCATTAAGTTTGTCTACCACTATTGCATATTCAGTGGAGGGAAAAATACATAGAATACTCTCTGGTTAACATGGTTCTTACTTGGAATAAATTATATAGCTAGATTAAAGAAATGTTTCAAAGGTTTTTGTTTGCCTTTCTTTGAGGCTGAAAACTAAATGCTTTATAGTCTTAAGAACAAAGCAGCCACATGATTCTCTCCACACATACAATTTCTAAGTTTAGCATAGACTACTAATTGCCCCTTTAAGCACTTTGCTTAAATTATATAATGATAGATATAATTATACATGATGAGGTCTGACTACACAAATAAAGTCTGGTAAAAAGAAGGGTAAATTATATATGGATGTTTTGGCTAAAGTACAGAGTACACAGAGGCTGTTGAGTTCAAACATTCACTATAGAGAGAATTATTTCCATTAAAGGAATATTATCAACCTAAACCTCATATTTGTGTCTTATCTTTTTTGTCTGCTATTGTTACAAATTTACTGTAACTGAACCAGATTAGAAAACAAGAAGATTGTTTTATTTTTTCAGTATATTTACTTTATGCATTTGACAGCACTTTGTGTATAGTTAGTTTCATCACTATGCCTCTGGTTAATTTCCTTTTTCATGTAGGTTTTTAACAAGAGTGTTGTAGCTGAAGAGTGATAGTTGGTTTCCCTACTGGATAAATTATAAGTCTGAATATAGACTTTGCTTTTGGTTTAGTGCTTTGTATTATCCTTCATTTACTATGACATTGTTGTAGGCTCATTTCCTCAGTGCACTGCAAATGATAGAACTTTCAGTCGGTGAAGTTACCGAGCTCAGTGATAGTGCAGAAATAACTTGTAAAGTTCATTATCTGTTAAAATTCTTTCTTCTGTAAAATGGTATTTCTCAAGTAGAATAAAAGCATACAGTCCTCTGTTAAGTAAGGCCCTGATCCTTCAAACGCCTGTGCATATGCTTCACTTTACACATATTGAGTAGTCCTGTTGAAGTCCTGTGTAAAATTAAACATGTGCATAAATGTTTGCAGAACGGGTCATTTTAGCTTCTTCTGAATCACAGGGAAAATATTTTATTAAAAACAGAGATTGCTGTCATAGAAATTGTACATACATTTAAGAAATGCTTCGTAGAAAATCTGGTTATGGGATCTTCTTGAAAATACATTACTTTATGGTTAAAAATGTGGAATAAACCAATGTCTAAAATGTCTTTATTGGATTATCAGTAATGTAAATACAACTTATTGGTTATAACAGCATTATATCCTAACTGACGAAGCTAAAATGTAACCTATTACTAACTGACTAATGAGAAGGGAAGAGAGAAGAGAAAAAACAGATGGGGTGCTTGGAGACAGTGACGCTGTTTCACATTAGGCATGTTTTAGTTAAATGATTCTATCAGAGTCTGTGATCTAAAAATGGTTTCCATATGTCTGAATTTATCTGTTGTTGTTCAAACTAAATGTTAGCCCCTCCTATGATGGTTCTGTCAACGTCACAATCTATTGTTTGACAGTGGGTGGTATCTCTTCCCAGCAGCTCAGATAATTTTGGGCATTGAGGGTGGAAAGTTGCTATTATTATACGTATTCTGAGCTGCTTGGCCAAGTCTTTTCCTCAGATATGTACATACAACTCTCATTGAATTCAGTAGAACTTGCACACACATATCCAAGGGTAGTATTTGGGCCACCGTTTTCTCCTTCAACAGCTCGTATAGGGTTGAGATGTTGGTCAGTAAGTGGAGGGATGTACTAATAGGTATTTCAGCATTTGTTGTGATTGCATTTTGCTTAGAGTGTTATCCTAAAAGCTGAGCACAGAGCAAATATGTAATGATTGTCTCCCACAATGATTAGCACACTGCCAATAAATATGCCCATTTGAGTTGAGAATTGCTTGCATCTAATAACCATGTATTCCTGATAGTTGTTTGACTCAGCCTGGTATATATTCAGCCTGGTGCCATCACATGACTTTAATTGTCAGCTGAGATTTTCTCCCATCACGTAACTTACATTGTCAATTATCTCTCTTCTTAAAGGTTCCAGATGAATATTTCTCTATTTTATTGGACTATCTGGAGGGGCTTAAAGGCAGCGCGCGAGATGTAACCATGCAGAAAGCTGAAGCTCTTATGAAAGAATATGACAATTCGGATACAGAAGATCCAGCCCTGTTGGAGAAGTGTGAGCGCATACGAAAAGTTTTACAGCTATTATCATGAAAGTGTGTAAACCTTGTCATTAGATTTCTAGATTCGTCTGTCTCTATCATTGTATGGAGAACAGGTGAAATGCAACAAATAACTTCCAAAAAAATATGTAAATACATGTTTTTTCATTAAGAATTGTAATTATGACAAGAGTTCATGTTTCCATTGCTCATTGTACAGTGTTTTAAAATCAATCATTAAACAGTTTATAAGGAGACTGTAATCAAAACGAACCATAGTGTTTGCCCATTATTAAACATTCTATTTTGGCTCCATCAAGTAATTTTTGCATGTCTTGGAAATGAGTGGAAACATCCGTCTCACTTTAGTTCTTCACGTATCAACATGTAATTACTATTAACTGAGGAGAGGAGCTTTGTGTCTCTTAATAAAAGCAAAACAACCAACAAAAAGCCTGGAGGTTCTTTCACAAAGGGTAGTTTTAAAAGCGAATGTAAAGCACAGTGCTTTATCAGCCAGCTGTAATCTATCACTTTCAGCTTTAGCAGCATGTCATTTGGATTTGGGAAAGATCATTTTCAGTCTGTCGAACATGGGTTTATAACACATTTACTTATTAGCAATTTAAGCAAAGATCTGGAGATTGTCAGCTTTGTTTGTTTTCCTCTTGATATTTAAAGTTTTTTGGGTGCTTTATGGCAATAGCTAGGTATTCAGAAAATGTAGAGATGTGAATAGTCCAAATCAGATGTCCATTGTGAAATCACCCAATCATACCTTTAGTAAGATGCTATCCATAACAGGAAATGCTGTGTTAGAACATTTTGTGTTCAGCCTGACAAATTACATCTTCATCTTTCTCTTGTAATTGTTTTCCAGTTGAGTTAATCTGTATTCAGTTGTTTCAACTAGGGAACATTTGTATCCTAGGAGAATGCTGAAGACCAGACTTTTATGCAAAAAACAAGGGCATTAATTACTCAAAAGTTTGAGATCTCACTTTAATAACAATACGAATTGAGTACTTGTTCCTAACCAGCACTCATGGCCTGATTCTCAAAAGGTTTTGTAATTACAGCATTTGGCTGGATTTTGACAACCTACACATACATGAATTGCTGTAACTTTTGAAATATACAGCCAGTTATAAAAGCAGCTTATACATAGTGACCTCTTTAAGAGAATTATATTGGGAGCCAAAAATTTTGAGTGATCTAACATGTGCTGTTCTAATATGGTAACTATTATGGAATTTAACATAATGGGTGAGCCAAGATATAAGAAAGAGAGAACAAAACAACAGAGAGTGCCTGTTAATCCCCAGAGCAGAAACAGTGAGGACACACATATTGCTTATAGACATTTTCTTACTTACCAGTTGTGCTACCTGGCTCCCTTCTCATTCTCTCTCATTTTTCCCCTTCTTGCCATATCTTCATCTCTATTGTTTTCTTTCATTTCCTCCTTTTTTTGCATTTGCCCCACTCACTTCTCATTTGTATCCTTTTTCCATTTTTTTTTTGTTACTACAAGCATAGGCAGCAGCAGATTAAAATTAAAATCAAACAAAACCTAAAGAGCTTCATGCTTTCCCCCAAGATGAAGTTCAGTTGGAAGATAAAATGGGAAGCTCAAGAAGATATCCTCATCTCATAAACACTGGTTTTGCTTCTTCAGATGTGCACTCTGATGTTCGCTGGTCTCAGTGTAGTTTACCATCCAAGATTATGTGAAGGCGGTAATATCACACCTCTTGTATTTAGAGTAGCATTCAGAATATTAAATCATCTGTTTTTTCTGTGCTAATGTGAAAAGGAGCAATTCCATTTGCATGAGTAGACTGTGTTGGCAAACTACCTTGAATGTATCTGAATTTAGAACATAGGTTCTCCCTTTTTCCACTTAATTCACCTGACCCTAACAGAGTCATAAGATTTCCTCCTGCCCCCATAAGGATGGGAGGTCCCTCATTTCCACCTGTTTCTTAAGAGCCCTTTCACCTTTAGATTGATGTAATTTGAAGGAATCTTGAACAGGGCCTGTCTGTAGATGAGTGGCTGCATGGCAAATTAGGTAGATGAAAGCATAGAGGCCACATGGCATGAAAGAAAGGCATGGAGACAGATACACAAAGTCCTGCTATACCAGATCCCAAGTCACCAATCAGTGTTTAGGGGGCCTGTCTCATCTACTTTCTTCAGGAGGGTAAAGCTGTGTGGAAGCCATTTAATTATACTAATAGTCCTGCATGCATTTTGGAGCACAGTTGTCAATCAACTTGTTGTTCTACTTAATCTAATTCTATCATTGACATGTCTCAGAGAACACCATCGTACCCATGTGCTGCCAGCTGGCCTGAGGCTGATATATGAGCACTGTTGGCTGTCTGGAAGATGAGGAGATCCAGAGCCAACTGAATTGAGTCATTCACAATAAATAACTGAGATGAAAAGCAACTGGATGAGATGAGGTTCAGAACAGCAAGTGGTGACGCAAGGAACTAACGGTCCTATATAATAAGGGCTAGGTCAATAACAGTAGGGTTGGCTCAGGGCAGAAAATATGCCCCTTTTATGATGGGGTTGACTGAATTCTAAAGACTTGCCCATTCATGCAGCCAACACCAAGGTTCCATGTAGTTCAGCAGAGAAGGATGAGAAAGAACCAGAGATGAGGGGTCTTCTGTATCAGGCATGTCTTTTTTGTTTTTGTTGTTGTTGTTGTTAGATTAATCAATGTGGCTAATTCTGAAGGCTTGGGAGAGTGGGGGAAAGTGTTTTCTAGGTTCCTCTCAAAGCCAATGGTGATGTTTGTTAGAGAAGTGATATAGCCTCGTATAAGAGCAGAAATACCCATCTCCACCAGATCCCATTCCTTCCCTTTCCCCTCTTTTACACTGGCATCTTCTAAGCCACTCCCCAATACTAACAATTATTAGGTAAAAGGAACCTAAAACTTCATGTATTGTATTGCTACTGTATATTTGTTAGCTTAAAGTTACCAGGGTTCTTAATTCCTCAGTGTTCTAAGTTCCATCTTCGGTCTAACACTGTAATTAAAACAGGAAAGGGCAAATTGTGGTCTTTGATTCTCTTAATAATACTTTGCACTTCTACAGACCCTTTCACTGGAGAATCTCACACTGATTTATGAACAGGTCTTTCAGAAAACTTGTAGGAAAGTAGGTATATGTTGTTAGCTGCATTTTACAGATGAGAAGTCTCAGGCACAGAAGCACATGAAGTTAGGTGCCTTAATACCTTTGAGGATCTGAGCCAGAGTGCTTGACCAAGATCCCAAGGAAAGTTAGTAGTAGTTCTGGCAATAGAACCCAGGACCTTCTGACTTGCCACCCCGTGAACTAACCACTAAGCCATACTCCAGCTTCTTACACAGTTCACTGTTTTAAATGTTTGTTTGTTTGTTTGTTTGTTTAATACAGATAACAAGGCCTCCTCTTCGATATTTTAAGTTCTAAAGTCTATATTTTCATTAAAATCTTGTAAGCAGTCTAGCCTATGGAAGGAATTTGGGTTTGTCACTTGCTTAGCTTTTTTGTCTGTATGGTCATTTTAAAATTTTCAATATTTTATAACACTTGTAGCTTAGATACTCAGCAAATGTGTTAATATGAATTGACAAAATCACGTGTCTGCCTCTCTTTTAATCAGCCAATTGTATTGTTAATAAAAATCAAATCCAAGACTAGAAGTAATAGTTTGTACCAACTGACAAATTACATTTTCTTCTGCTTACTCTAATTGCCTTTCAACTGAGTTAATCTGCATTGTGTGGCTCTGACTAGGAGAATTCGTACACTAGGAAAATGCTGAAGTCAGGACTTCTCATGCAAAATATAAAAACATTAATTACTCAAAATTGCTTAAAGCTGGAGATGTGCCTCTAATGACAATACTAATTACTAAAAATTTGACACTGTAGAAGAGTTCTCTTTAATTTGGATGATCTCCACTGTGTGTTGTGCATCTTCTTGGTTATCTAGTGTCTGCTCTCACTTTTAATTTGTTACCATGGTTCTAAAATTACTGAGGAAATGGATTCTCCATCCTCATTTAGAAAGCAGAAATTGTGGATATTGAGTGTAGTTCATTTTTTACCCAGTGCAGGATGGCTCTGTTTTATTGGTAGGTTAATTTTAAAGAAGGGTGGATCTAGTCTGATCTCACACCTTCTAGTTACTAAGGGTACGTCCAGACTACCCGCTGTACCGGCAGGTAGCGATCGATTTATCGGGGATCAATATATCGCATCTCGTTAAGACGTGATATATCGATCCCCGAACGTGCTCCCCGTCGACTCCAGAACTCCACCGGAGTGAGCAGCAGTAGCGGAGTCGACGGGGGAGCCGCGGCCATCGATCCCGCGCCGTGTGGACCCCAGGTAAATCGATCTAAGATACTTCGACTTCAGCTACGCTATTCACGTAGCTGAAGTTGCGTAGATCGATTTCCCCCCCCCCCCCAGTGTAGACCAGCCCTTAGAAATTCTTCTTCTTCCTCCCACCCACTACATGGAACAGAACAGAGCAACAGCCATTAAAAAAGAGCTATCCAGTGCCAAACTTATGCATTTTTGGAGAACAGCATGAAAGATATGAGTGCAGCTTAACCTACAGTATTAAATGTACAGCATAAACCATCAGATAGTATATTCACTCTATAAATAATTTACACACAAATAACTACAGGAAAGGAACCTGTGCAACCTTAATTCACTCTCCGGGTGCGTAAACGTTACAACACAGTCATTAATTGCATGATCACATACTATTTTTTCCACTGAGTAAAACAGATATCAAACATTTTTAATTGGTGAAGCTCTGTATTTTCCACCTTTTAAGAAGTCGATATCTTTTTCTGTTTCCAAAAATTAGATCTACATCATTATGCTGAAGCCATGTGAGTGACTGCGGGGGAGGGGGTCAATTCTGCACCATTGAAATCAATGGGAACTTTGCTATTGATTTCACTGGGCCCAGGATAAGGTGAGAGATGTCATTTGATTGAATGTTTAATTTCTAAAGATCTGGATTTTGTTATTAGTGTATAATCCAAATATTGAACTAGTGTTAATTAAACTAAATCAGGTTTAATCAGCATAAAACTTTCCTGTGGTTTAATCTGTTTTAGCCACGAGTGGTTTCATTTATGCCTTCCGTCCTGTACAGTTATTACAGTTATGGAGAAGTTATTTATATCCCAGCAAATAAGGATCTTAATTGTTTATTGTGATTCTAGTCATTCTGGGACAC